GAATGTATGGTAAACTTTAATTTTTAAAAGTTTGCTTTTAAAACAAGAATCGAAACACAGACATAGAGAACAGATATGTGGACATAAAGGGGCAAGGGGAGGGTGAGATGAATTGGGAGTTTAGGTCTGACTTAAATACACTATCATGTGTAAAATAGCTAGCTAGTGGGAAGCTGTTTCATAGCACAGTGAGCTCAGCCTGATGCTCTGCAATGACAGGGGGTGGGATGGGGAAATGGGAGGGAGGCGCAAGAGGGAACCTATCTGCATACATATAGCCAATATACTTCATTGTATAAAAGACACTAACATAACATTGCATAGTAATTATACTCCAATAAAAAAAGGTTTTTAAAAAAAATTTAAAAGGATGAAATCTAAGACTTTCATTTAGCAATATGACAAGATAGATCACCTGAACACTACCTCATTACATAGCAGCCAGAAGTGCTGGATAACAGATAAACAGTACCTTTTGTAAATGTACAAATGAACTCTCCAGGAAGCTAGGGAAACTCCAGGGGCCAACACTGAAGAAAGCACTGAATTCTCTACCCTGGTGGGAGACGGGAGGGCTAATAGATAAAAGATAAGGAGATGCACGGCCTTGGGTCCTCATGGGGTGTGGAGGTACAGACTCCTGTATAAGGGCAGGAACCCTGAAGGGCTCTGTCCTATGAACAAGACCGCCCGAAAGAGAAAAACAAAAACAAAAAAACACAACAATCCACCCTTAAGTAAAGTAAACAAAAAGACTGTCTGTCTAGCTGGGCTCAACCTGAAAAAAGTTGACCATAACGAAGTCTTTCCTGAAAATCTGTAACTGTGGGGCTTGTCTTCAGTTGAGCTGGGGATCACATTTGTATTCCCTCTTTATACCAGATAACAGATACAGAAAGAGCTGCCAAGGGACATGTTCAGATTTTTCTTTACTTTCCCAGAAAGACAGCAAGCAGCAGAGAAGGTGGAATGAAAAGGATATGTCCCTCTATCGCAAAATTCTGGCCAGACTTTATATCAGCAGAAATTTCCAAGGAAGATTTTGCCCTCAAGGGAGGCACCTGTACTTTATAATTAAGAAGGAACATAAAATCCTGAGCGGCTTAGGTATCTTCCACAGAATAAGCCTTTTAAAAAACTGCAATGTTTTTGATTTGATATTTAATTCTACAAATTCTTAATAAACACTTAAGACAGTCCCTGTCTCAAGGAGATTTTAATCTCAGCACAGAGAAAAGTCACAGGCAAACACAGGTGCATCTGAGCACAGAATGCTCAACTCTTGTTCTCCTTCACCAGTTTCTTCAATTGGTCCCTCATATAATATGATTTCCAGATCCTTTCCCATTCTGGTTCATAGAGATAAGAAAGTTACATAGATTTACATAATGAGCAGTTGATGATATTAAGGTTATTGCAAAGGAAGTGTGCAGAGACTAAAGCGAGGTGAGGGGTGAACAACAGCAGTCCATGATGGAGGCTGTCCTAAATTCTCATGTCTTGGGAAGGAACATGGTCCCATGAATCTGTAAGTGCCAAAGGCAGTTAACAATGCAATGGAGGAGAAAGCATTTTTATAACACATATTTCAAAAGTCAGAATGAGAACGTGAAATCCAATCAATCTCCTAAGCAATTTGGGATGCAAGTTTATTCCATAGGGATAAAATTTAATATTTTCACAAACTGGGTTTTTTTCACTTTCAACCAATTATTTTCATATCAGGTGTTCATTGAAACCTAGTTAAATAGATCACAAAATAAGCTAACAGAAAACAAGGAATGTCTCAGAAGAAACTACTGAGCTGTCCTTAGCATGCCTGTTGGTAGTCCTATAGCTATTTTAATCACACTAATAAATGGGTGGAAAATGTAGATTTAATGAGTAGTTTGCAGTAGACACATTTTACATTTTGGTGGCTCTAGTGGTTAAAGGACCCACCTGCCAATGCAGGAGATGTAAGAGACTCGGGTTCGGTCCCTGGGTCAGGAAGATCCCCTGGAGGAGGGCATGGCAACCCACTCCAGTATTCTTGCCTGGAGAATCCCAACAGAGGAGCCTGGCGGGCTACAGTCTATAGGGTTGCAAAGAGTCAGACACGAGTGCAGTGACTTACCATGCACTAGTAATGATGGCATTATTTTCATTCTTAGAAAAATCTGGAGAAAACCCAGAAGAAAGGTCGATGGCTCATGGAAATCATGGCTGCGCAAGAAGGAATCATCTTTTCTTAGGTTACAGCTCCAGTCCTCACTCCTTACCTGATGTTCAAGACCCCACAAAACAGCACGGCTCCTCTGTTCTGCTCCTACCATTCCCCTGCACATTCTGCTATACCCAGCTCAGGTCTTTCAGGGCCCACCGAGCCCACATGTGTGCACCCCATGCCTCTGCTCTGAGTGACTTCCTGGAAGACATGCCCCCTGCACTCTTCCTCCCCTCCCTGCTCACCTGTTGGGCTATTGCCATCTCCCCAGCCCACAGCACTGTCAGTGGTCACCTCAGCCCCCCAACTGCAATTCTTCCCCTTCGACCCCCACAGCATTTAATGCCATGCTGCCTTTGGCATTAGCCTTTGTCCTGCTATTTTTGACATTTGATATGTTCAGATTGTATCTCTTTGGCTCAACTGCCGGCTCCTTGAAAGAAGAAACCTGATTCCTATCTTTCACCATATAATCCCCCAAAGGGTTTGGCATAAGTGATTCTGTGTCATGAACCTCAGGGCATCACTTTCCATTTAATCCTATAAATTTCAGGATAAAAAAGGGAGAAGGAGAAATTGTGTAAAGACTTGTGCTATATCCAGGAATCTGTACTTTAGAAGGATAGATTTTGACCTTGAGAGAAAGCATGAAGATGGAACTTTCTTGTGTCTGGAGAGGAATTCAAGAGGAGTGCTAGGGCTCCCTGTCTTCCCTTTGTGTCAGGAATAAACTTGTACACCTCCTGACTTAGACAGGGCCTCTGTGAAATACAACCCTCAGCCCAAGAGAGCACGTATTCACAAGCCCTCCTTTTCCTCTGCATCGTCTCTGCCAGGGTGATCCTGAGAGAAGAACTATACAGTATCCTATACAGTATCTCTGACCAGCGCCAATGGTTTCAAAAGTTCATTTGCCAGCTTTGTCCCAGCAGGAACCAGCCCAAAGGTTATTGGCTATACAAGCAAATCATCCTGTTTTTGTCCAGAGTCACTGTATACAGCGAGTCTCCAATTCTGCTGCCTATTCAAACTACTGGGAAAGCTTTCAAAAATTCATATGCCTGGCTGCAACCACACCATCTAAATATGAATCTCTGGGAATGGGTCTAGGCATCAGTGTTTTCCCCAGTGATTTCAATACACCGCCAAGTCTGAGAAGCCATGCTTTAACCAGGTCCATCAGCAACCCACCCAAATTCACTCTGTAGTATAATATGAGAAAATACTGCTGATTCTGGAATGAATGCCTGACTGCAGAAGGCAGTGCAGACAGAACCTCTCTTTGACTACTTGACTGACTAGATCCCTAGGTTGTGATTAAGCTGATCTTCAGTGTTTTCATATTTTCTTCTTCCCTGTGGTCTTTTGAAATTCAGCTAACATCAAAGTAAACAAGAATCTAGAAATGACAATACTACATTTTGCTCTCTATGAGTGGGGAGAGGAGCTCCCAGTAGTTCTTGTGCCTGACTGTTCATTAGAATCACCTGGGATATTTAAACACACGGATGCATGGCCCTAACCTCAGAGATGTTGGCTCAGTTGGTCTAGAGCTGTGGTTCTGAATGCCTGACCTCTAGAACAACAGCTTTTATAACACTGTGGATTGCTTTAGAAATGCAAACTCTCAGGCCCCATCTCAGACCTACTGAATCAGAAACTAGGAAGGAGGGGGAGGGGGAGGGGGAGGGGGACGTGGGGGCCAAAATCTGTATTTTAATAAGCGCTCCAGGGAATGATGGTCATGATGAAGTTTGAGATCCACTGGTCCAGGCAGGACACAGGTCCAAATGATTTTGAAAAGACCCACAGGTATTTCTGCTGGGCAGTCTGGGTAGAGACTCCTGCATCACATAAATAGCACTGGCTTAGGGAGATAACACCTGCCCTTCACTGCAATCTCCATGCTCTCCTGATGCCCATCCTCCAGGGGAAACAGTGTGCTTTCCACTGGGGTGAGTATAAGAGCTCTTGTATTACATTGAAAAAATAGCAGGTTTGGTGTTGGTATATTCAGTCATTTTAACAAGTGCATTAGATCAGCAGTGAAGTCCATCTTACTATATGCTCAAACATTTGTCAATAAAATACCCCATCCATATCATCTCCCCATCAAATGAACTGACTTTCCTTCAAACCTAAAAGAGCCAGTTAACAGTGACTCCATGTAAAAATATAACCATCTTATTTGATTCAATAGGATAAAAGAGACCTGAATATGAAGCATCTACTTCATTTTGAAACAGGCCTTTGAGTCAAAATTTCATGCTCCATAGGGCATCCATCTCATCCTTCAAAGAGAACTTAATAGTTTAAAAAGCTCAGGGTTTTTATTTGTGCAATGATGACACTTAGAATTCTAGCTTTCATGCAGTCTCAGGATAGAAGCCCCTCTGGCAAGATATGTAATAAATGGGATCTTTATATGAACAGCAATTCATATTTTTACTTAAAGGAAGTTCCTATGCAATGACTAATGCTTCAAAGAGTGGATTACAGGCTGGTTGTTCTCTTCTTGTCCAGCGTTTGTTGGGCCTGGGGGTAAGAAGTATCACTTACCTCTTTTGGAGCTCCAACGATGCTTCATAAGAAAGGGGCTAAGCCTGCAGATCAGTTTATGGCTCTGACAGTGTCTGGTGATAAGTTACTGATGTGGCATAAAAGATCTACTAATAGCCTTAGACAAGAGAAGTTGAGACTGCAAGCATGCCTCTCTCAAACATGCATCACAGTCAACAAGACATTCCACTTGTGGACAGCTCTGGACAGTCCAATGTGTCTACTGAGAGTTTACCTCGAGGGCAGTAGATGTCTGGGGCCCATCGGTTGCACTCATAATTGTCTGCTGCCTTTTCGCAGGTGAAGCACTTAAATCCACCAGGATATGGTGTGGCTACAAAAAAAATCAAGACAGAAGATTAATTTTTTAGATTAAGCATAAAAGCCTACATCGTGAAGTGAGATTTTTTTTTTATTAATTTTATTTGTATTTCTTATTTTCTTTTATTAAAAATAACAATAAAGGATTATTAGATCACAGATTATTTTCAGAGTCTGAAAGTGTTAACTGGCAACTAGCCCTATATTTGAGAATTTGTAAAATGCTGGACAAAACATAAAAAACAGCAATATAGCAGTGTGGAGCCTGTAGTTTTAGGTGTTATATAGAAATGCACATAGGAATTTTTTTAAATTATTTTTTTAAAGGGTTATCAAAATAGCTTGACAGTTTCTCAAAAAACTAAACATGCATCATATGACTCAGCAACTGCACTCCTGGGTATCTATCTCTGAGAAATGAAAACATGCATTCAGACAAAAATCTGTACACAAATGTTCATAGCAACTGTATTTGAAACATTGTCAAACTGGAAACAACCCAGATGTGCTTCGATGGGTGATGGTTAAACAAACTGCAGTACATCCATACCATGGAACACTAGTCAGCAATAATAATGAATATTAATATAGTCAACAACCTGGGTGAATTTCTAGGAAATTATCCTGAGCGAAAGAAGTCAATCCCCAAAAGTTATATACTGTATGATTCCATTTATGTAACATTCCATTTATGTAACATTTTTTACATGAGAAAAGTTTAGAAGTGGAGAAAAGATTAGTGGTGGCTAGGAGGCTGGGGATGAGAGGGGTAGGAGAGACATGGTGTGAATGAGGCCAACAGAAGGAATCTTTGTGCTACCGAAATTGTTTAGTGTCTAGACTTGGTGGTGGATCCACAAACCTACATGTGATAAAATTATGTAGAACTAAATACACAAAAACACTCATGCAAAAATACACAAATGAACACGAGTAAAATGGGGGAAGTCTGAATAAAACCGGTGGATTAATGTATTAGCATCAATAACCTGGTTATGCTATTATTCTACAGCTTTTTAAAACTGTTACCATTGGGGTAAACGGGGTAAAGTACACATGAAATCTCTACATATAATTTCTTATAAGTACTGATGTAGCTATAATAATCTCAGTAAAAATATCGATTAGCAAAGGGCACTCTAGATTTCCTATCCTGACTTTTATATGTCAACTTAAGTAGACATATTAACATGGCAAATATAAATACTAGGCTCAATCATTAAAACTTTATTGATGTTTGATAATTTCTTATCAACAGCATTTCTTTAGCTCAATCTAAAATTTTTATCGGGCTGGACATGACATAATTAAGCATCCCGGGGGATATTCAGTGTCAGCTACGAGAAGAGTCTTTGTTGCTAAAATATATACTGCCTGTGCAGAGGTGACCCTCCTAATGAGGCCCGGGAGCCCACAGCCAATGTCAGGGGCAGCGTGCTCAGGGCATGGTGGGGGGTGAATGCCCGGTGGATCCTCGCTCCAGCCTCAGGGATTCATGATTCCAGGAAGCTCTTCCTAGCCATCCCCTCCATACCACAGCCCTGAGCTGCCTCTTCCTGATTTCTGAAGAGGCTGTCCTCCAGTACTTGTATTCTTTACCTTGCACTTGTGTTCAGGTGGGATGCACCCATGAGAGTCAGGCTCTTGGAGGGCACCACACACCAGGGTCTCCTTGCCACTTAAGGAAGAGGATCCACAAGGAATGTCAGGCCAGCCTGTCTCTGTCCTTTACCCTGATGTTTTTTCATTTTCCCTGATGCTGCCTAGTTCTAATCATTTGCTTGCTTTGTTACTTAGAGTTTTGCCTTTCATAGACAGAACTTGTGTGTGTGTGTGTGTGTGTGTGTGTGTGTGTGTGTGTGTCTGTTCTAATTTGTAAAACTACCTGGCCTCTTTGAAAGCTGCAAACACGCAAACACTTCATCTGCAGCAGCCAACTGTTCTTCCTCGCAGATGGCTGAGCCTGCATATCCCACTGGCGGAAATAATCATCTCAGGGCAAATTGCTTTGCCCACATGGAACCAATTAAGTATATTATCAAAAATAAATGAAGGAGGAGGCAGCAGCTTAAGGCCAGAATTATGGGCCAGATATAACTTTGATTTTCACCTTGCCTAGAAGAGCTGCCCATCCTCGTACTTGCTTGCAATATTTCACAGAGCTGACTCTGACAATATCCAATAAGCTAACATGATCAAAAGTCATAAACTGTCTAAAAAAGACAGATAACTGGAACATTTAACAGGCCCATTTGAGAGTTCTATGTTCTTCCTAGTGACTGGTGACTGGTGACTCAAGTTCATAAGCAGAATGATTCTGAGAGCATGGGTTGTCTTAAAAAATGAGGAATGGAAGGCAGCCTAGTCATAGCCATCCAACCACTGCATTCCCAGAGAGAAAATTTCACTCTGGTTAAACATGCTCTCGCTATCATGTAATTATAATAAAGCAGAAGTCAAGTGTTTTGTAAAACTACACAGAAAATTTTTCTATCTTTAATCCTACTGCCTAGATAGGTGGGTTACACTCAAGTTAAAAGATTCTGGTTTAGGTAAGTAGACACCTAAAGAATTTAGAATAAATAGATTCTCATATTCCAAAAGGCATTCAATATTCTTATGGACATTTTAATTAGATTATTTTTATAGATACCATCATTAAAAACCATACAAAGTATTTTAGGAAATTATCCTGATTGGATACATTAAAAATAGTTTTGCTACCTACTTCGAGATATTCAATATATAAAAAAGTGTAACAGAAAGAACTTTGTAAGATTTGAAGTAGAATTATTAAAGCAGGAGTTTTGAAAAAAAGATGTAAATGATTTGTCAAAGAAGAGCATTTCTCAAAAAATGATTATATTCACCAAGGTTTATGACTGCAAGTTAACCATAATACTTCAGCTTGCATGATTAATTCACTGGAGTATCCAATTTTATCTGTCTGTCACAGCAGCCAGTAAGATTTTTAGCTGGAATGCTGGATTAGTTATTCTTGGAAAGTTTCCCATCAAAGAGATAAATTAAGAACTTTGAACAAAGATTGATGATCCAGCCATTCCAAAAATAAACTTATTGAGAACCTAGCACTAGTAAGTTGTAGTGTTCCCAAATTTGGATTAATAGAGTCTTCAAAATTATCTTTTGCAAGACTACTGACAATATTAAATACTGCCATTTCTTATACAAGTAAGCCTAGACTCTGAAATTAACTCAAAGTACATAAAACTTTAAACAGGAATATAAGCTAAAATACTAGGATAGCAACAGACGCTCTGTTTAAAATCATCTATCTCTGAATGTGTTTATCAGCATGGACCATTGACAATTAACCAAATGATCTCATTTTTGGTGAGCTTTATTTTTGAATCCACAACTTCATGTCTGTGTGCATTCTCAACAATGACAGGCTAACATTTACTTTTAGGAACTTGTATTTATATCTTGGCAAGTAGTAGTGATCAGTGAATAATCAAATCCTTTTCGGTGACAAATCTCTGAAAACAGACTCAGCTTTCAGTCAATAATTACAACACAATACTATGTAATGGTTAAATTCCCCATCCTGGAAATATTTAGCTAAAAAGCAAGGTCTACAGATGAACAATTATATCTCCACTAACTTGCTAACTGATACTGCATCTGATAAAAAAGTTTTGTTTTGTTTTCTTTTTTTTTAAAGGACGGAAAGAGGTTCCTAAGAGATGTGCTATTTTCTTCTTTGTTACTTCAAAGCATTACAAAGCAAGTAGGGTTTCAAATTGTTGTGGCCCCAGCTGCGAATGAATCTAATTTGGCTCTTGATCACAGAGTTAATAAGCTTAGTACTCTGTATTTCAGGGCATAAGTCCTTGGTCCCTCAAGAGAAGGTGATTGTAAAGAAAAAAAGAAAAGCCAAAGTGCCCAGTTACTCCCTGTAATATAATCTGTCCATTAACTCTCCTGGTCAGCCATAGTTCAACAGACCATAATTCATTTGTAAGGCATCAGGAAAGATTTCGTCTCTGTTTCCATCTCTTGGAAATTTCGCCTGGAAAAAGGCCTTAAGTTACCAAAACCATGGTGAGAAGAGAGTCTTGTTTTAAAACGTATACTGATGCATAACGTATCCAAACTTTTATTTTTCATTCTTGCTAAATTAATTTCCATTGTTTTTGGAAACTGGACGCAAACACAAAATTTCTAGAAATCGAATAAACTGACCTTCTCTGTCCATTAGGCAACAACATGTTGTCAGTATAATTTTAATACCATGAATATATTCCTGATAGAAATGCATTTCCTGGGACCTTTCTAGACAGTCTTCACACTCCCTACAATTTCCTAGGCAAGAATACTGGAGAGGGTAGCTATTCCCTTCTCCAGGGGATCTTCCCAACCCAGGGATTGAACCCCAGTCTCCGGCATTGGAGTCAGATTCTTAATGTCTGAACCACTAGGTAAGCCCTCTTGTAAAGTAGAACTATGGAAAATTTTCACTGGCTCACTATCTGGGTGTAACAAGCCACCTGCAGAGATAGATCTCTTTGGTCCACGCGATTAAGAAAAGCCACAGAATATGCAACCAGAGGAAAACTGGATTTCTCTGAAAAGGTTTCTATTACAAGGACAGAAAAGAGGCCAAGAACAGGCTGAAGTCACTTAGGATGTTAAATTCTGCTATCATGCATGAGGTCTAACAACCAAATAAGTAGCTCCATGTCTCTTAAAATGAACACCTGCTTTAAAGGTTTTTATTAGGCTTGTGGTACTTTAATCATGGGCTAGGAAGAAATCCATCATTTCTCACATGAAAAAGAAAAAACATATAAATGATGAAAAAGAATGTTATTGAGGACAGTGCCTTAAGTTTGAAAGCCATTAAGTTTATTTCTTTTAAAGGCTTCAAAGATTAGGAACCAGAGAGCAAAGCAGATTAGTCATGGGAGGCTGAACTTTGCCAACCCAGGTTCCAGTCCCACACCTTGTTATCTCTGAAGGCTGTTTGGGGTCTTGGAGAAATGAGTTCGT